TTAATTGTCATAAATTATTGTATTTTTTGGCACCGCATTTATTGTATTTGAGAAGTGTTCGACTGCAGCTGCTATTCTCCTAGCTCCTAGCTAATAACTTACCCAACTGTTGAGAATATGATGCGGAACTCCCTTACAGCTGAATAGCACCACACAGGAAAGTGTTGTCTAATGTGCAGAATGTTTTGAAGACACCAGTATGATTTCATGAGAAAACTAAGCCCTGCAGTGCTGCCATTGCTAACCATTTAGTATTCAAGGAAGTGGGGCATACTTAATTTGGCGTGTGATACAAAGTGCCAAAACACTCACAAATCTATAGTTATAAAGGTTACAAAAATTGCATGGTGTGGATGTACCTTTTTTCTAAAGTTGATTACATTTTCAGTTGTGCAAATTATTTCACAACTTCAGTTATAATTTGCACTGTTCTAGTTTGCAAATACAATTAAGCATGTGCAATTCAAGTGTGATTTATTTTACTCGGGCAATGGAAGGGTTTTTTTTGTTAAATTCTTACTATTAAATTCTTATTATTACAGTTTGACCCCAATTTATTCTCTTCTATTGGAATTCTTACTAAGGAGTCCTCCAGTGAGATTTCAAAAGAAAAATAAATGTAACATTCTAATAATACATATATAGTGCATGCAGAGGAATGCAGTATATAATAAAATTGCTAATATGAATGAAAGCAGCCTTTTAAATGTTTGCTATACTTTATTGCTGCTTAACGTAAGTTTTTTCAAAGATCAGAATTGTTTTCGTTTTAAAATAGAATCCCCCCACCCATTTTTCTTTTTAAAGGAAAAGAAATATTCCTCTGCTATAGAAAGAAGAAGCAATTAAAATAAATGATTCCCCTGTTCTTCTCTTTTACACACTGTTGTTTTTGCAACAAACATATACAATGTGACCTTCAAGTTTTGGCTTACTGTTGTTCATGAAGACTTTATTAAAAACTGTTGTGTTCCTGACAATGCTAGAGCCCTTGCTTACCTGAAGTAGAAACCTTGTAAGGAGAACAATCAGAGATTTGAAAACTCATGAGTAGGTGCTTTGCCACATGGTACACCACCTTCTTGCTATTAAGCCATGGGTCGCATTCCTCATTACATTCAGCATGCAAACCACTGTTGCAGCAAACTCAGAACAACTTATCAGAGCAATGTAAGATTTAGGCATATCAGCACAAAGAGCATGCTTTCATATTCATTTGATGCTAATTGTGACTATATTTGGCACTGAGCCATTCTGAAAGAAGAGTGTGAGGCTTAACACAACTAAGCACAGCCTAGTCCATTTATTAGAAAAGCGTAGGTGTGCATTGTTGACAGAAATTATTTTTTCAACTTCTGCCTCTGTCAGAGTGTGGGTGATGGCTTCATTAAAAAGCAAATTCCTGAATTGAGGTATGGGAAAAAGAGATATTTTGTCATATTTCAGAGAGAGTGATAAATTACTGAAATTATTTGTGCTTGTTGTGATGAAGGGGAAATTTATTTCTTTATGCATTTCTCTTTTTTCTTTTCTGTATTATCTGTATTTTCTATTTTTCATTATATTTTCTGTAGTTTTTATCTTCTCATTTAAATTTTTTATATCTTTTTAGTTTGCATTAGTTTTTTATCTTTTTAATTGCAATCTTTAATAATATAATTTTTTTAGCAAATTCCTCTAGAGCAGAGGTGTCATAATGCGGAGGCTGCGCCCACCCAGCTCTGGCAATGCGAAAAAAGTCATGATACGTCACGACATGTCACGTGACTCGGCGAATTTGACACCCGTGCTCTAGAGACAATAAGGCAGAGTAAGTAGAGACTGGATTGCAGGATCTTTTAAACTCTTTCGATTGCTTTCATATTCCTGGGACATGAGAAACTAGTGTTCTGTGGTGAGGATGGTAATATATCATGATAACTTGCCTCCCAGTATGTTGTAGCAGCAGCTTTGTTGTGGCTGGATACCAAATAGTGGCTGGACAAAATTAAACTTTGCATATTAGAGATATATAATGACTTTGGTGTCTACACACTCATTGTTCTAAGAGCCATCCCTTCTACTAACGGAGGCTTATGTTGGTAGACATCAATATTTGAATCAGGGAGTTTGTTAATACCAATTCTAAGACTCTAGTTTCTATCTCTAAAACAATTTTATATTGTATACCTGTTTCACTCACCCCATGGACATGTTGATCGGGTTCACACATTGCAGAAGGCTGCAACTTACTTCACAATGGTTTGTGGGTAAGATATAGTTGGCTAGATCCACATAACATGATGCATCATAAGTTGGAATGGGTAGTCTACCTGGCTATGAACTTCGCTGAGAAAATAGACTCATTTTTTTTAAAAAAAGGAAGATATTTTTGTTCTTAGAACAATGAAATACAAAGGAAAACAAGGTCTACACTGGATAATAACACAAAGGGAACAATTACTAAGCATACATAAGATATTTATAAAAATATTATGAAAAACTTTCCAGAAGCACATTTTCCCCTTTCCTTCTGTTTATGCTGAACACAAACTAAATATATTTTCCATTAAAAATGAAAAAAATTTTCTAAAATCTATTTAAGTCCTATTAGTTTTGACTGATCTCATCATGTTTTCCTTCAAAAATATATTCCAATTGCCTAAATTTGCCCTGCTATATAATATGTGATACTGTGTATACAGGATCCATTTTTGATTAAATTGGTTGAGCTTCTATTATGAATATATACTGGTAATTTTGTCATTGCTGCATATTCTCCAATATTGGTGTCCCAATCTGATATAATCAACCAAGTTCCTTCCCCCCCCCCCAGTGTTATATCAGATTGGTTTTTGTAGCTGTCAGCATTTATCTTAGTAAATTGTGATATTTTACATAACAAGAATCTTCGTATTTTTAGTTAAAATACTTTTAGGATTTTCTGAATATGCTGATGTCTTTTTCCCCAGTACTTTTGAATTCTTTTACACAACTACCACATAGGAAAAAAGTTCATTCTCTGTTATGGCATTTCCAATATTTATTTTTCTTTGATTTGTCTAACTTGATGATTATTGATGGATTTATATACTGTATCATCTGAAAATGTTTTTACCAATTTTCCCTTAAATTATAACTTGGGATAAATTTTATTAATTTTTTCCATGGTTCTTATTATTGCAACTACATTACCATTAACTTCATTGTCATATTTTTTTATTTGTTCTATCTTTTTTGTGTCATATTTCAATAACAATTCGTTTATTTTTCCTAATAGGTGATCTTAGTTTTGTATGAGTTACAAATTCTATGATTTTTTTCAAAATACCTCCTTCATTCTTGAGATCACTTTTTAGTCTTCTAGCAATTTGTAAATACATCAAGTAAATTCCTACCTTCATTGAATAGTTCCTCCTATGTTTCCTGAATCTTGATATTGGCCTGTATGATTAAATCTTTCTTAACAATAGTTATTCTTAAAGTAAATGACATTTGAAGATGAAGGTAATGGAAAACTTGCTGGACTTCTTTTTGATTTTAAAATATTCCATATATTTTTTAATCAAACTTCTTTTCAAATTGTTTTCTTCTTTTGTTCCCTTTCAGCATAAAGACCAATGAAGTCCATAGGCTAAGCTGGCTTCTTCTATGATTGATGTTCTATTTTGGATTTTATCCACTTTGTTAGTTTGTTTTTACTGTTGTGATAAATCCCACCCAAGAAAGTTTTAAGTTTTCCAAGATTCTTTTAAAATTTATTTTCCTAATTTATTATAATTGTTCTGAAATACTATATGACTTTATTAGTTCCTGTCAAACAGAGATCCAAATATTTTTTTTTCTTATCTCATATCCAGATTCTTTTTCATAAAGTCTTCTTCTTTTGGGATTAAATGTCTCATTATTAACTTTGTTTTCTCTTCACTGGTTTTATATCTGGAGAATTCACCAAAGTCTATGTTTATTTTCATGAACTTTCTTATAATTCTCTGTAATTAAATAATGGCACATTAGTACTATATCATCTGCATAGCATTTCAACTTTTATTCTTCTCCCCGCACTTTAATCCTAAGTATTTATGTCTCTTCAAGTATTTGTGTCGCTAAAACTTCTAAAGCAATTTCAAATAATAAGAGAGAAAGTGGTCAACTTTGCTTGGTGTCTTTGCTTATTGGAAAAGTTATAGAGAGGTTTTTTCTTTTGGTTTGCTATAACTTTTGTCTGCTGTTGATATATGAGTTACACTCAAATTTAAAATTTTTCTCCTGGATTGTGTTTAAAATGAAGACAAGTTAAAATTTTTGTTTAGTAATTATAGACGTGTACAATGCCAGCAGATAGTCATTATGATTGATAGTTCACTGTATTTTTCATTTAGTCTACTTTACTGAATTGTTGTGAAGAATTAAAAAAAAAATCTGTAAGCTAAATGGAGAGCACTACTTAAGTTTTATGCTTTTATTTTGGCTCTGCCTGACGATTCAACATCAGATGTTCACAGCTGTTTCTTTTACATGCTGTTTACTATTAATAAAGACATGGTTAGGAAACATTTTAAGTACAAAATGCTCCAGTCTATGACAACATGTCACTTGAAGTCTCTGGCTCCAAATTAATTATGTCCCAGATTCCTTTGTAAAATTGAAGCTACATGTTTTCTGATATATTTAACTATACAAGTATGGTTTAAGTGTCCTTCAGAGTGAAACATTATCCTGCAGGTAGTCCTCAACTTACAACAGTTCATTTAGTGACCCTTTGAAGTTACAACGGCACTGGAAAAAATGACTTATTACCATTTTTCACACAACCTTTTCAGCATGCCCATGGTCATGTGATTTATATTCAGATGCATGACATTTGACTCACATTTACGACGGTTGCAGTGTCCCAAGGTCATGTGATCACCTTTTGCAACCTTCTGACAAGCAAAGTCAAGGGGGAAGCCAGATTCACTTAACAACCACGTTACTAATTTAACAACTGCAGTGATTCAATTAACCAATGTGGCAAGAAAAGTCATAAAATGGGGCAAAACTTACTTAACAAATTTCTCATTTATCAGCATACGTTTTGGGCTCAGTCGTGGTCATAGATCAAGGACTACCTGTACTTGTATTTCTCCATGCCAATCTGCTGCTGGGAGGAAGACATCTTGACAGCAAGCTTCTTTCTATAATATTGTATTATTTGTAGAGGAAAGGTCTTGTTTTTTCATTTATCTTAACTGGGAATGTGATCACATGATCTTCTATAGAAGAAATTCTTTCCCTTTTAATTCCATAGAAGGCAATCAGAAGAAAGTTTTTTCCCCTTTTTTCTTCTTTATGTGAATTAAGAAAGTGGTAGAAAAAGGTGGGGAGTTGATAGCATATTCTGTACATTCATAGTTTGCTAAGCTAGAATGCCGCAAGGCTGTCAGAGTTGGTAATACTTCATCTATCTCCTTAGTCACTGCTTGGAAAAGTCTACCTATGTATGCAAAGGAGCCTACCTCAGCCAGATGCATGGGCAGCCCCCAGAATTGGTCATTTGGATTGATAATTACAGGAATTGTCCCACACAGCTGTACTTCCAATGTGTCTGGAGGTCGGGAAAGACTAGTATAATACTAGTATAATAACCAGGCACCAAAGCTATAATCATTCTTCTTCTACCTATCCTCTTGGCTAAGATGTCGCTATGTCATAAAAGCCATCCTCTGTTAAATAATGGAGAATGTTGTTTTACTTGCCCCATCTCTTATTCCATATGAAATGACAGCTGGACTGAGTGGGCGCAATGTGGAAATTAATGTGTGGAAAGACATAGTGACTCACTGGAGACTGTTTAAAATCAAGCCTTCTCCTGCAGCGTTTTAGCACATGGCTTCTCTTCAGTTCCCTCAGACAGAGCAAGGGGCCATCTGTGGGAGGGAATGGGTAGGAGAAGAGGGCTGAGAACTGAGGCAGAACGTTCAGCATATTAAAATGAAAATGGATTCATCTGAGAAGAGAAAATCTGTATTTGCATTTCTAGCCAATATTAATTTCAGGTTGATAATTTCTAACAAGCAGATTCCCTTTGTGATAGTCACAATCCATTTCTATGTGTAACACACACATATTTTAATAATGGATTTTGGAGGGGGGGGGAAGTATACTAATGCCATTGTGAATTATGTGTCTTTGATCTTTAAGTAGAAACTAACTGTTGTTCTTTATTCTGAAATAAATGCACGGCTTTAGAACGATGTTTGTTCTTGGATTTGTTGGTGCATTTATAGAAGAAGTAGTGGCTGGGTTTCATTCCAAGACTTACAGTCAAACCTTTTGTGAGCTTGCTCAGAAGTGAATCTGGTGGAGTATAAAATCTTATCAAGCTTCATTTCACTACAAGAGTTGTGGCTGAATCCCAAATTGAAATTCCAATTAAACATACATAACACATATGTATTTATAGCTTGGATTTGCCTGAAAACAGTTCTACCACATAGCTGAGACAGCAGTCAGGAGACATGGTTTGTGTTGAAGACTCGCTTCATTCTTCCTCATTGCCAAGTCTTCTTCCAGCAGTTCAAAATAGCCAAAGAAGGCATGTTCTAAAATAAATCAAAGTGAAGCAGTGTAGCTGTTTTGCTCTTAGAAATTGGCATTAGTGTTGGGGACTATTATTAGATTATGACTCAGAAATGCTTCATTTTCACAATGGTATCAAAGCTCCATATACGTGTGGTATGTTCAGTTTCCCAGTAGGCATTAGTTTGATGAGGCTACATAAAAAACATAACTGCTTTGAAGTGAATACTGTGGAGACTGTGAAATACTTTCAGATAACTTTCTTCATGAGCATTTTGAAATGATGCCCTTAAATAATCTTTATAAAAGGTTTAAGGAATTAAAACCAATTCCTTAATTTGTTAAATAATTAATCCTTTCATCTTTACAGTGTATCAAATCAGAAAAATCAAAGACTGAATGCATATGTTTTAAATCAGTCCAAGTGATTAAGGGAAACAAGGGGAAACCCCAGTTTTATTGCTTGAGAAAAAAAAAAGTGCAGTACTGTTTCCAGTCTTCTTTTTTCTAAGGAAGGTAGCTAAGCCTTCCATGGCATCCTACTAGTGTGTTTAAGAATCGTGATTACTACTTTGGCATGTAGTAATTTTACCTTCAGAATTGATTGTGTATTCTGTGTTGTTTCTGTAGGAACGTGGGAGATACATAGGTACTTATCTTCTGATTGTATCATTTTTATTTCTGAAGGTATTTCCAAGCCAGCAGAAATGGAACCACTGAATGGAACAGATGGCCAGCCAGAAGGACAAAGCAAGACAGAACCACTTCTGAAAAGTGTTGAAGTGTCTCCATACCATCGCTGGGTGACCTGGTGGAATGGGATGACAACAGACGGAAATCTGTATCTCTTTATCCTCTCACTGTTATTGGTAAGGATTCCATCTTATTTGGGATGGACATTGCTTTCGGACAAAAGAAAAGGAAAACATTGCTTTTGTTTTTTTTAGATTCATACATTTTAGGGGCAGATTTCCCACGTCATAAATGCTGATATAGCTGAAATTAAATCAAAAGATGTGCCGTGTTACATCAGGTAACTCAGTCTTTTTATTCAAGTTAATTTTGCAGCTGCAAAAAGCCTCTGTGCTTTAAAAAATAGTCATGGTTATAAATAAAAGATTATTAATTGAAATCTTGGATTTGCTATTTAACATTAAAAAAGTGCAGTAACCTCACTATTCGTTATCTGTTTAAAACACAGGTTTTCTTCTTTATGTTTTGGTGTGGTGGATGTGAGACCATCCCAGCAATTCATGATATTTTGGCTGTCTTGTCCAACCAGTTTCATCCATCACAACAGTTGGAGTCAAATTCTAACACGGTATGTTTGGTGATTTCAGTATATTTCAATGTGGGGTATTAATGATCTGCTTGGTAGTGCTAATATCTTCTTGGATGAAATATTAATAATGGATGTAATACATAAAGTAGTGTTTGTTATACATTATGAATAGCTTCTCTAGCTAAATGATGAATAAAGGAGCAGTTCTGAACTTGACATTAGCAGTGTACAGACCTCATTGAACAAATGGAAATTGCATAATATTTCCTGCTAAGTGCACCACAATGTTTATAAAAGATAGGCAAGGATATTTGCTTTGAATGAACATTTGCGTCATTTATTCCCCTTTTCTCAAAAGGATGTTTGGAATCAGAAGCTCTTAAGCTACATTCAACATCACATGACTGAATTTCTATTTGCAAATAGTACTTCCCTTTTGTTCCTACCCCACCTTCCTCACTGTATCCTGTGTGCTTTCCAGATACATTTCAAAATATCCTTCTGCGCAGATCTGGGTCTGTTAAGGGGGTACCAGAGTGAAAAAGGAATTTCATCAGTCATGACTGAATGTAACTTATGATAATTTCCTGAACTTCTTTAAAAAATCCCAATGCACGTCCTGATTTCATAGATCTGTATATAAGTTATAAATGCAGTAGTTTTAGTCCTTGGGTAAAAATTGTTTTACTCCTTGTGCTTTATTCATATCTGAGTTATGTCAGTTCAGGAAAACTATCTGAAAACTGTATCACAATGATAATATAAAGTATAATTGGATTGCATTTTCTGTGATGTGTTGTAAAGATTTAATAGATTGTAGTGCTCTGAGCTATTGCTAGATCCTTATTAATCTGAGTCCCTTTTCTTTATTCATTGCTCTTGCCTATGACTCATTTCTTCTCTTTTATTGGCCTTATGCCACCATACAGATTGGCAGTCCTATCATAATCATTTCCTTTCTCCAAACTCTAATTGTACATTTTTTGCCACTGTAGTTGCAGGACCCATTTTCTTTGTAGACAGTGTTGCAAAAAGAACATTAGCAATAGACTTATAATAGAGTTGGGAGGGACCTTGGAAGTTTTCTAGTCCAACCCTCTGCTCAAGCAGGAAACCTTCTACCATTTCAAACAAATAGTTGTCTAATTTCTTCTTAAAGACCTCCAGTGTTGGAGCACCCACAACTTCTGGAGGCAAGTCGTTCTACTGATTATTTTTTCTCATGGCCAGGAAATTTCTCCTTCATTCTAGGTTGATTCTCTCCTTGATTAGTTTCCATCCATTACTTCTTATTGTGCCTTTAGGACCTAAACTGGAACAAATACGATTTGTCTTTTACCCGCTTCTCCCTAGAAGTATGGAGCTTTAGTTGCTAAGAGGAATGTAAATAGAGCTCTCTGCTCCCTCGAAACGAATCTTTCAGGCAGGGGTCACATAGATAGGGTGAGTGAGAGAGCTCAGGTGGTAAGCCCCCTCCTGGGCTGTGGCAAATGATGGATGAATGGGAGAAGAATAAGAGGAGAGACATGCAGATATTTGTTTCCTACTGCTGCTGCTCCTACTGCAGCAGTAGGACCAAACCATACAGAAGACTTACAAGACAGTGGCCAGGAATGAGAAGTGGAGAAGCCACTAAAATGTCAGAGCTTTGCCCCTACCACATGGTCTAGTACAGTGGTGGCAAACCTATGCCACGGGTGCCAGAGGCAGCATTCAGAGCCCTCTCTGTGGGCACGTGCGCTGTCACCCAAGTCCTAGGCCTTCAATTGGGTTTTATAAAACCTTTTCACTTTAGGCCTCCACCGCTGTGTACAAAAAAAAAAAAGGTTCAATCAATCAGTCAATTTCAACTTCTCGTGGGAAAAAAAAGATCTTGCAGAGTTGGAATTGACTGATTGAACTTTTTAGTCCCACCCAGTCTGCTGCTACCACTGCAGCCACGCCCACCCAATGCCATACCCACCCAATGGGCTACACCCACCCGGCACCTGATGATGCATAAGTGGGTTTTGGGTTGCAGTTTGAGCACTCGGTCTCTAAAAGGTTCACCATCACTAGTCTAGTAGTTCTTTACTGCTCTGTTTCTGGGTAATCTTAGTTGTTTTTACATTCAATCTTTATAGACAGTCAATGTCCTGTTATTAGTTTTTCCCAATTTTTACTTTCCCATCAATATTTAAATTTAACATTTGATATTTATAATTTCCAAGTTTTAGGTAACCAAAGTTTCCTTTGTCTCAATTCATAACAAAGTTTAATATTCAAGATACACATCATCTATTTAAGTATATTCTATTTCCCACCATCTTGCATCATCTAGTTAATAATACAATATAACATCCTTATTTTCAACTAATTTCCAAATTTAATGACCAAAATTTCCCTTATTTCAACATCAAATACTTCCTCTCTTTTTCCCTTAATATCTACTGTCTCATATTTAAGCTAATACAGTTCTTATTATATCAACTAAGTAAAAACATGCTTATTACATTTATCAATAAATTTTTAGCTTATACATATCTTAATTACTTTTACATTCAGTCTTTATATACAATCAATATCCTATTGATTATTTGTTTTCCCCAATTTTTAATTTCCCATCAATATTCAAATTTAACTTTTAATATTTATACTTCCAAGTTTTAAGTGACCAAAGTTTTTATCTCAATTCATAACAAAATCTAGTATTCAAAATACACATGTTGTCTATTTGAGTATATTCTATTTTAATTAGTAATATAAAATCCTAATAAATCAAAACCCTAATTTTCTTCAGCCTTATTCTAACTTTCTTCCTTTGCTATCTCGCCTTCCATGTCAGTGCTTTTAAGTCATCAAATAGATTTCCCTCTGTTGTTATATATATTCTTTGAAATAAGAAAGACCATCCAGTCGCCATTTTTTGGGAAGGGCTAACGAATCGTCTCTCTATTATTCCAAATCCCTATAGTTGTCCTGATATGTTTGTCTTCCCTTCGGTCTGTTCTTCTTGCTCCTCAAATTTCTTCTGATTTATATAGAAAGTCTTTTCCATTTTCAATGTTGTCAGTCCCTTTTCTGGATTTTCCATTGACTATATTTGTTGGTCAGTTGAATCCTCTATCATAGTATTTAATTGTTCCACTTTTTCTGTTATCTTCTGTGTAGTTGATTCTTTAATTGTGGTCAAAATTTGGGTTTGTATATCTAGGCTGACATCTTGTTCTTTTCTGTAGCATCTTATTTCATCACAAGCTGAAAGAATGGTTTCATGTATTGCTTTCAACATAAAAAGAATCTGTTCCTGGTCTTCATCCATATTCTCTTGCTGGTGTGTTAAGTTGAGGGCTTTAAAGTCAGAGAATGAAAATAATTTTATAACTGGGTATAGGACACAGCTGAGCTTTTCACAGTTGGTATTTGTCAAGGTTGAAAAAGTCTTTATAGTCTGGGCTTCAAGCCAAGTCTCCTTTAGACAATAACAATTTGTAATATCAAACTTGGCCTCAAGATGTCACCAATGCCTTTTAAGGTTTTTTAAGTCCAAAATTTTTATAATCCTTTTTCCAATTTTATTTCTTTATTTCTTCTGTAAAGATATCTTTTGGTTCCCAAATTTTAGAAGCATATAAATCCAGTTAGATTAAGGTTGTTCTTTCAGTGTTTTAACTCCCCTGGATAGTCAGTCGCTGCTATTCTTAGAAGGTGGGATAGAAGTTCCCTTCCCTCTCACAGGGAGGAAGATGCTTTGGGCAGCTTTTACAGGAAAAGAAAATACTTGGGATTGAAGAGAGGTTCAGATCTCACCCAGTCTCATCCGCGCTGCTTTAGAAGTGCCTGGTAGTAAGTTTGACTTCGGCTGTCTGCAACCTAGTGATGAGCCATATTTCTATGGCTGGTCTTTCATCCGCCAGTTTGGAGGGCTGCCCCGGATTGAGCAGAATGGCTACCGCCCTCCTGCGATCAAGTGGAGATCCTGTCCTTGCTTGTCGCCCCTATAGGGCGACTCTCAACTCTTTCCAGGGTCCCCCAGCGGAGTGAAACCAAACACGGAAGACAGAGCTCGCCTTCCAGCATCTGCGGCCGCTGTGATGGGAAACTGGAAGTCTATTTCTGGGTAATTTTAGGAGTAGCAATGATGATGGAAGTGATTCTGTAGAGAATAAAGAGGATGGTCTTGGCAAGAGAGGAAGATCATGGCAACAAGTAGATTTTGTTACTATAGCCCATTTAAATAAAAATAATTTTAAGCCTATGTGGCATTTGTTTCTTGGTCTGCTTCACCTTTTTTAAGAATAGAACTCAACGTGAGACAAATTCTTCACTCACTCAACAGAGGTCTATTCTCAAGTTGCTTTCAGAAGTCAAGGAGGAATGGTAACAAAGACAAATGACTTGTGCTGAACAGAGATGCAATTAATGTCAAAAATTAATTCACAAGAGTGATCAATGCTATCTTTGCCCTATGCCTAAGTATGGATCTGGATTCCAAGGAATTTAGATAATCTTTTTCCAGCATACTCCAGAATTGTTCAGTGACCAAGAGTAGGTTATAGCTTGGACAATAATTATGAAGGGTGTCTGGGTTTGAAGAAGACCTCCAAAGAGTGGCAAACTACAGCTCCTTTTAAAGTTGCAAATTGTACCTTCTTCAGAGGTTAAGCCTTAGCCATTGTCTCATCTCAGGACCTTTTCTCTATAGAGTGAACCTTTCATTATCTATTTCAGGGTCAAGAAAGGCGTGCTTACCACACCTGTGAAAGTAGCAAGTTTTGACATTTATCCTTTCCTTGATTTCTTCATTTTTTGATCATATTTCAGAAACTCATAATTTCACTTTTTCCATAACATTGTTTTTCTGAATCAGTCCATAATGTCATAAATGACTTAAGTATCCCCTAATTATCCAGGAGAGCACATGCTGTAGTTTGATGAACTGCCAAAAAGGTTTTATTTTAATGAGTGAGAAAAATTAGTTATTTTCAAGTTTGAATTGTTAAATGTTGGGTCAAAAAAATTTAAATGATTTACATAATTTCAGAGCCACCTTCAGAACAAATTCCTGCATATTCTTGCATGCCTCTCTGGGTCTTTCACTACCCTAAAATAACTATAGGCTTATATTCTTCCTTAGAATCTGATCAGGGATGAAGGCATCACAGTGTCTTACCTCCTGCTGTCTCTGTTCTTCCTTGGCTTGCTACTCATAGCAACATTGGTAAGATGACATCTTGGAAGCATTTAATTTCAGTTGACGAGTTTGCTGAATAAATTAATAATTTCTGAGTTTCCTTACACTGTTCTACTGGTACATATGGTGAAAAATAAGCTTAAATAACCCCTAGCAATGTATGTATACTTTCCCACTCTGATAGATTCTGGGAATTAGACAATTGTAGGGTGCCCTCTGTTACTTTTGCAAAAAGAAGTGTTTGTTTTTTTTAAAATCATTTACTAAAGGGGGTAATTAGTTAACTCAATAAGAGGACTGATGTGGGTAGTAAGATTAGCTTTGCTGTACAGTTCATTTGCTCTTTGCAAAGCTCTTATTCACCAGGTTTATTGTTTGATCAAATAATAAGCTACTACTGTAGAGCAGGATAATCATGTATATTAAAATGCAAAGGATGAGCTTCTAAATTGACAGTGAACTGTAAAAGGTTCAAACCACTTCTGCAATGAGATACTCCCTATTGCAGAGCAAACACAGAATAAGAACAATGGGATTAGTCCAACTGAATTTTCTATAGCGTTCCACACTTTTTTCCTATTTAATTTTTAATTAAGAACATCAGTAAGTAATAAAAAAGTACAGGGAAAGGTTCTTATAGTATAATTTTAGATGTACAACAATATTAGCAAAATATCTTGAAGTCTTTACATTCAATAGTTCATATGATCAGCCAAGTTATGAAAATACTTGACTGTAAAGTTACTAAGTGTTAAGTAGAAACTGGGACCAACTTAATTTATACAATTAAAATGTTCCTTAGTCGTCCTACTTGATAGAAAAGAACCTAGATTTGTCAAATCTTGAATATTTAGAACATATCTTTTATAGTTTAAAATTTCCCCATACACTACTATTTCGTATTTTCAGTATTCAATATTTGTGAAGCTCCCTTATATTTCAAGTAACAAAACTTCCATTACTCTGATTTTCTTGAGAGTTCCCCAATATGCAAGGCAGTGTGTTTTCATAAATTGGCCAGAATGTATTGCAACCTAATCACATCTGCTATGGAAGCCAGTGTTTCAGAAATGGCTACACAGTTCCTAGGCTGATCCCTCCTTTCTTACAGTCTCCTCTGTCCATGCTCCACCCTGCCAGGTTTACCATGACATAAAATGAATTCAAGAAAGCTTCTGATTGAAACTAGACAAAATATGTTCCATCAAGTGCAAGGGGATTTTTGCTTAAGTATGTATGACCAAAATTACAACCTGAGTTTCAGGAATGCTAAATGTTAAGCCAAGCACAGATTTATTATGATTTATTTGTTAAAATCATTTGCCACTCATCTTGCCGTGGGGCTACTTGGGTGGCTTAAAACAGCAATATAGGAAAAATTAATACACGGAAACGTAACAGTAGCAAAGCAATGAAACAATAAAAATAAACTAGGAAAGTACAATAATATGAATTAAAAGATAGAAGGAGGAGCAGGAAACACGGGGGGAGTTGGGGTCAGCTGATTAGTCTAATTAGTCTGTTGTTGTTGTTAATTGCGAAGTCGTGTCCGACCCATCGCGACCCCATGGACAACGTTCCTCTAGGTCTTCCTGTCCTCTACCATCTTCTGGAGTCCATTTAAGTTCACACCTACTGCTTCAGTGACTCCATCCAGCCATCTCATTCTCTGTCGTCCCCTTCTTCTTCTAGACTAATTAGTCTAGATTATATTATATTGCTGTCTAAAGCTTATTTATGTACAAGTAGCCCTTGATTTACAGCCACAATTGAGCCTTTCTGTTGCTAACAGGATAGTTGTTAGCTGTTAGTGGTTTTGCTCCATTTTACGAGCTTTGTTGCTGTAAAATGGGGGAAAACACATTGCGGATCATTGCAGTTGTTAAGTTGCTAAGTTAGTAACATGGTTGTTAAGTGAATCTAGCTTCTCCATTGACTTTGCTTGTCAACAGATCACAAAAGGTGATCACATGACCCCGGGACATCACAGCCATCATAAATATGAGTGAGTTGTCAAGCATCCAAATTTTGATCCCATGACCATGGGGATGCTGCAATGGTTGTAAGTGTGAAAAATGGTCATAAGTCACTTTTTTCAGTACAGTTATAATTTCGAACGATCACTAAAAGAATGGTTCTAAATTGAGGACTATCTGTATTACTCTTAATTTGAGATAGAGGAAGAGGAAAGAAGGCTTCCTTATTTTAAAAAAAAAAATCCACCCATGTCAGATTATGTTCCGAAAAGATTCACATTTGAATAAACAATGGTAAAAACATCACAAGAGTTAATATGGAGTTAAGACTGTTTTATCTGTTAAAAACAGTAAAAACTACATCAGAGAAATAATTTCCCTTTGAGTAATATTGCTTCCTACCAAAAATATTCCTGCAGGTAAACTTTATTTAGGAAAAGCAATTAAAAAATCAGGACTACTGATATAGTTTAATCTAGATCAGTGTTTCTCAACCTTTACAATTTTAAGGCATGTGGACTTCAACTCCCAGAATTCCACAGCCAGCATTGCTGGCTGTGGAATTCTGGGAGTTGAAGTCCACATGCCTTAAAATTGTCAAGGTTGAGAAACACTGATCTAGATCTAAATGAGGGCAGAACAATAAATAGAATGTTCTGTATTTTTCTACAAGGCATTTAAAATTAGGCCATTTTTGTAGTAACTGCAGGTGTAGTACAGTATAATTCTTCATTGATTTCAGTGGTCCAGTTACTGTAGAGACCATTTTTTGTAAGGTACAAAAGGGAGAAGTTGTGCGAATGGCTGATGATTTCTTATGACTCTAGCGTGTGTCCACTCTATATCCAGAGTCAATATAAGAAATAGAATATATGCTAAGTCAGGGTTCCCAATCTTGGCCACTTTATGGCTCGTGGACTTCAACTCCCAGAATTCCTCAGCCACAAGTCACAAGACATAAAGTGGTCGAGGTTGGGGACCTCTGTGCTAAGTGAAATAAGGTCTTTGTTTACAATAAATCTGAGTGTTAATTTGGTCATGTAATTGCTTTCTTGAGTTGAGCGTTAAATGTGATTATGAGCACATGAGCAAAACATCCCCATTCTGTGTTTGCTAAAAGAAGTTTCAGGGGTAAGGTTAAAAAAAAAAAAAACTGCACCCAATAGCATACACTTCATTTAGCATCAAATTGGGAAGGACTGCATTTACAAGATTTAGGAAGTATTTATAGTAGAACCTTAAAGCCTTTTAAATGGTAATGCATTCTTCCAAATAACACATTAGAGGGAGAAATTATTCACCGAATTCAGTGGTAATTCGACTGAGGAAACTACTAGGCATAAAGCTTTCCACCTTGAGTGCAAAACCATAATGGACCTTTCTCTTGTGACATACAGAGGCGCTGCATAGCATTTTCCTGTTCTCTTCAGCAGAACCCATAGGCTTTGTCTCTAGAGAGCAATAAATGCAGTCTAGTTTATTTTCTCGTAGGTTTGGCATCTTGCGAAGGCTCCTCCAGAACCCCAATTTCCCTTCCAAGAGGACAGGCGACAGTCTGTAAGCCGTCAACCATCGTTCACTTACTCTGAATGGACGGAAGACAAAAACGATGATGACTTCCTTGATTTAGATCCTGTACCAGAGTCACCTGTTTTCGACTGTGTGATGGATATAAAAGCAGAAACAGATCCAACAACTCTTACAGTTAAATCTGTAGGGCTGCAGGAAAGGTAAGGTAGCATGTGAAGAAATGCAATCAGCTGATCACAGGGAGGGGAAGCTTAGCCATTATGAACAATCAACTTAATTTGGACCAAATTTATTTTCTTTCAGAAATAAGGAGCTGCCCCTTCAGCTCAATAATTAATTCCCAATTAATATTTATCAATGTACTCTTTGTTACGGATTTCTCAAACTCTATTAATCTTGTTAAAGTGTTGAATTTTCTGGCGATTGAACAAAAGTCAATCTACTTTTACTTGCTGGAAGAAAATGATCCATTTGTTATTCATAGAGTTCGTTTGCCACTGATGCTTTTCCCACAGTTTTTGATTTGTTTTGATAATCAGTGGCAATAAAAGGTTACTTTGAAAGCAAGAATATGTCATTTGAGAGGGGTATTTAACTCTATCCTCTTGTCAACTTTCTCAGCTATTATAGTCATTCCTCTACTATTCTAAATCTCAACAGTTATCTCCATGGGAATGCCATGCATAGAAAAAAAGCAGTGCATCTTCCATTCATCCCTCTTTTCTCTTGCTGGGATGAATGGTCTGAGAAAAGCCTTAAGACAGGGAGGGTTATCTTCTAGGTCTCTATAGCGCTGGTCTTCAAGGCAAATAAAAAAAATATCTTAGAAAAGGAAGAAAAGGTAATTCTATTTGTGGATCTAAAGCCCTTGACAATATTTTGAAATAAGGGATGTAAATTATTATATTATCTGTTATTCTTCTAATAAATAAATAGGTTTTTTTCCTGACCTGTCTTCTAGGGGTGTGAGTCTCCATTCCAATGTTTTCTAGCCAACGTAGTTGTTAGGCTAACCTTTATTAAATTGAATTATTTGTTTTAGCTATAATGTTTTTCTCTCTTAAGTAGCATCAAATTCCACATTTCAATATTCTATACTCAGAAGGATAATATAATAACAGGTAGTCCTTGCGTAGTGATCACTTAACTCATTGACTGTTCAAAGTTATGACAGCACTGAACAAGGAAACATATATCACCAGTTCTTGAAGTTGCAGTCATCGCAGTGTCCCCACAGTCATATAATCACAATTTGGGTACTTGGTAACTAGTGCACAATTCTGACCAGAGTCACCTGATCCCCATTTTCTACCTTCACTGCTGGCTTCCAACAAGCAAAATCGGAGTGTCAGAAAGTCACAAGTCACAGTTATGACTTGTGCTTAACAACTGCATGTGAATCACTTAACAACTGCAACCCAAACTGGTTGTTGTAAGCCAGTGGGGGTCATGTGATTTCTCACTGTAGGACCATGTCTCTCCATGATGGAATTGCTGTTCCCAATGAGGACTATCGGATTAATTTTTTGTGATTGCTAGATGTATTTGATTACAGGTCCCAGATAACCTGGCCATAGTTTATTGACTGGATGTACCGTATGTGAAAGGAAATGTAATACAATACATCCAGAAGAATGAAAAGATTATGAAGATACATCTTGGCTCAGGGTGAACATCATACAAATAGGAAGTGAGTGATTCATGTTGATTTGTTTCATAGCCATTAACGGTTACCTCTGTATGTCCAGGCGAGGTTCAAATGTTTCGCTCACGTTGGACATGTGTACTCCTGGCTGTACTGAACAAGGGTTTGGCTATATCATGTCTCCCAGGGAACAGTCAACTCAAGAATACCTCCAGACAGCGTCAAACATTCTCTCAGAAGAGGAACTGCACGAGAAAGCTTTAGATTCTTTTGCGCTTCAGACAGAATTTTTTGTAAGTATTTTGGTGCCCCCGTTTCCAAAATAAGTGTTTCTATTAGCACTGCCCATACTGAAGCATATCAGTGCTCACAGTGATCTGAAGAAAATTATAATATTCAGTGAAATCAATTGCAATAATTTAAAACAAAAGCGTTTTTTTAAAAAATTCATTAAGCTCTGGGGAAAAATCTAGTTAGAAGAAAGGAGAATATGTTTTTGGTGCCCTGAATCTAGATTTGGAAATATTTCAAGGATGGCTTGATGCTTCCCCACCCCCTCATTTCATGCATGGATTTCTGGAAACAACCTTCCTTTTAACAGCAGGCACTTTTAACTTGCTGTTTGAATCAATGTCTGCATTTTGAAGGTTTTCAATATATCCCAGCTATGGCTGAATTGGGAGGAAATAGGAACAGTTTTAGGAGACGTGACCTTGGCAAGGCCGAACAGCTTTGAAAGGAAGCAAAAGCAAACATTCTTTCTATATTTCATAAATATAAAACAAAAAGAAACCCATATAGTACATTAGCATACAGCATTTGCATCTATCAGATCCAGATTTTTGTTCGTTTATTGGAGAGTTGGGGCATATACCAGTAGTAAGTTTTGAAAGAATGGAAAGGTGACTTGAAGTCTAGGAAAAAAATGGCTGAATGAGGGGAACATATCCTGGTAATGTAATTTCCTATGCTTAATCTCACTATATTGACTAACATAACTTAGATATTATCCATTGCACACACACACACACAAATCTACAAGTTCTTGCACCTGTTTTTATGAAACGTTGCAGGTTTGTTCCTGGTAAGCATTTCTGCAACAGAGCTTTCCAGCCTTATTTGTATAGTATCATCACCAGATGGGACTTCCGCATCATCAAAACACACACAGTCATTTATAAATACCATACAGTAATTAAAATTAAATTCATTAGTTTTACTATCGTTTGTACAGTGGTGCTTTTAATGACTTGTATTCCCCCTTGGTCTTATCTTGAGTAATGAAGTGCATAAAATTAACATAGATTTATTTGATAAGCCAGAAGCATAAGAAATTTTTTTTAATTGTTTAGCAGAGGAGTAATTATGTAGTTTGAGTTCCTATAAGGTTATCCGGTGATCAACTAAGTTATTAAAAAGTGCCAGTAGAACAAAATATTAGTACAACAAATATTAGATTCAGCTTCATAAAAAAGATTAGCCATAAAAATTCACTCTCTCTCAGTGCAATGTGCTGCACGGGAATATTTTAATAAAGAAAAGGGAGAGCCCCAATATATCAACAAATGTAATGATTATTTACAAGATACTAGAATGTGCTGAGATGTACAAACTTACTCTAGAAATAAAAGACAAGGAAGTTACAGAATTTCATGAGATATGGGACAGGTATTATAGTTGGTTAGAATTGAGGAATAAAAAAGTATGAGAAGTAATGTAAATAAGTGTAAATAAATGTAAGAGATATAGGACATAGTATTGTTAAGAAAAAAAAATGTACTTTGTATTTTGTTTTTTGTAAAGAGAAAAAGAAAAAATAAAAATTATAAACTGCCTTTTCTTCCTGGAATAAATATAGAACATAAATCTAAAAATAACAAAAAACACAATGTTATACTTTAATCCCATTCCTATTAAACTAAAATAAAAGGGCTTTAAATATATCTCACAGGCCCATCACATTTCTTTTAGTACTCAAATTCTCCAATTCACTGGGTTTGAATCTGGATTGAACAAGTTTTCACAAGTATTACAATATTCTTTTTTTTTAAAATCCATTTTCACTTTTTAAGTAAAAAGCTATTAGGATTGTAATATGTCTTGGAGTAAATTTCTTGCCACCAATAATTCTTGTTTAAAATTTAATGATATTAATAAATTATTAATTTTTATGATGTATATTTCAACAGGAAATCCCAATGAACTTTATTGATCCAAAGGAATATGACATTCCAGGTTTAGTCCGAAAGAATCGCTACAAAACAATTCTCCCAAGTAAGTACATAGAAATCCATTTTCAGTGCAGAAGCATTTTGAACTATGTGTTAATATATATGTTTGTGAACTTACAAGCAGTTTTAAGCTTGATGGGATTTGCCGTAGTGATGACTTGATAGCTCAGGAAAGATCACTGAGTTGCAGAAGCATTTTGGAGTTGTTCACCAAACTCCCACAAAGAATATGGATTAAGATCAGCAGCGCAATACAAGTAGTCCTCAACTTACAACAAGTGAGCCCAAAATTTCTGTTGCTAAGTGAGACAGTTGTTAAGTGAATTTTGGCCCATTTTACGATCTTTTCTTGCCACAGTTGTTAAATGAATCACTGCAGTTGTTAAATTAGTGACATGGTGATTAAGCGAATCTGGCTTCCTCATTGACTTTGCTCGTCAAAATGTCGCAATAGGTGATCACATGACCCCGGGACACTGCAACTGTCATAAATACATGCCAGTTTGCAAGCATCTGAATTTTGATCACGTGACCACAGGGATGCTACCATGGTCGTAAATGTAAAAAACAGTCATAAGTCACTTTTTTTTCAGTGCCATTGTAACTTTGAACAGTCACAAAATGAACTGCTGTAAGTCAAGGACTACCTGTACATACATTCCCAGGCAGTACCGTATATGCCGGCGTATAAGGCGACTTCTGCAAGCGTTAAAATCGGCGCTGAAGTCGGGGGTCGTCTTATACGCCGAGTCGTCTTATACGCCGGAAATACTGGTAGTTTCTGCCGTATAAGACGACGTTCTAGGAATGCGACTCGGCGCCAAAGACGGGGGTCGTCTTATACGCCGGGTCGCCTTGTACACCGGCATGTACGGTAAGTATGAATCTCCCAATTTGAATGTTGTGTGTTTTCAGTACCTCTCAGAGTTTGAGAGATAAATCGGTCAAAATCTTCTGAGATTTTACTATTTCCTACAATTTTTAGAATTTCTGTTTTGGAGGGATCCAAGGTTATTGTATTAGACTGCATTATATTTCCTGATATGGAAAATGTTATGTTGGATGTTAGTATTTACTATTTATCTGGTCTCAATCATTGTTCTGATTGTTTTAACAAAATGGACTAAAAAATCATATCAACTGTTTAAAATGCTTCCTGAAATGTGTTTTTCTTCTATTTGAAATACATCCGTGCACTGAAACATTTGATCTGCATTAACACTTTACAATTACAATTTCGTTCTTTAAAAAAGCTTAAAAACAGTTTTCAATTAGAAAAGTTGCCCACAAAACAGAATACGTTGTTCTGAAAATAAAAGAAAATATTTAAAGTTTTCAAAAATAAATGTTCATTCCAGCTAGAACTGAAAGATAAATAGGCACTTAACTTAATGATCAGTTAGTTTCTTGCAACGCTATAGCTAATTGCAGTTAGCGAGAGAAATGATAATAGTCTTTAATTCAGCTAATGTATACTGCATTTCTTTTGCAGATTTACAGATTTGTTGTCGGTAATTTCTTTTAAGCCTTTTGTCTCAAAAGTTCCATCGTAACCATATGAAAATGGTTGATTTCAGAAAGCTCATTAAAAAAAGTTGCTGCTCAAAAGCAGCACAACATTAAATCCTATAGAATTATAGCAGATCTCTGCCTTTGCACTGGTATTTAGATCAGGCTACATGCAACGTTAATAATGATTAGTTCTGCAATAAGAAAGAATACCGAATTGTAAAAGGTATTGTAGCACCCTGCTTCTTCAGCGTTGCTGTGTTCCGTTCATTGCTACAAAATGTGGTAAAAGTATTGACTAATATGAATTCCAAGGGGAATTAGAAAGGGATGTTAAGCCTCTTAATGGGTACTAGTAATAGCATCTAAATACAGCCCTACGGTTGTATCTCACTGAATATGAGCTATAGGTGAGCAAAAGCAATGACTACTTTCTACAGGGCATCTGTTATTGTAACTGTGGGAAGCAGAATTCTGAATTAGATAGACCTTTAACTAAAACCATCAGGGTTCTCTTGTGTTTCTTCAAATCAAACATTTGGCCCGTTCCTACAATTCCAGATTAAGGGTCTGTTGTGTAATATTTTTGTACAATTCATGTTGGAAAAGAAAAAACCTTTTTTTTCCCCATTCCGGTTTATAACTCAGCATTGTTGCTTTCCATTTTCCAGATCGTCACAGCAGAGTGTGCCTTACCTCAGATGATCAAGATGATCCCCTTAGCTCTTACATTAATGCTAATTACATCAGGGTAAGACTGGCAGTTCCATAGAATTTTCCTGTATAAGTGGTTTTGTTGGGCCTCAGTTATTTTTCAGTAGTTGCAGAATTCCACAATCATTTCAGTCCTTCCAACATGCTGAGAGAGAAACAGATTCAAATCTCAAAGTTGTAAAATATACATGCGGTGATTTAAAGTGTGACTTGCTAGCAATCTCTAATAGTGAATTACAGTCATCTTTACCATCATGCTCTTTTCAATCCAACCAGGCCCCAAAATGGGGTGCCAGATAAAGCCCAAATGAATTCTCACCATAGGAACTGTTAGTTTTTGTATAAATCAAATTTATGTCGCTTGTGCTTATTTGTTTCACTGCATGTGAAGAGTGAGTGAGTATATTTCTTTCTAATTTGCTAAAGAGCTTCTGAGTGAAAACTTGAAGGACTGAGGTATACGTACATTTCAGCACTCATGATCCTTGTTTTTGTTTTTTGTTTTTTTTTTGCTAGGGCTATAGAGGAGAAGAAAAAGCGTACATTGCTACTCAGGGACCCATAGTTAATACTGTCAGTGATTTCTGGAGAATGGTATGGCAGGAGCATTCTCCAATCATTGTCATGATTACCAATATAGAAGAGATGAATGAGGTAATGCTGAATCTCTATTTTCTATTTTTTTTAATCCTGTTTTGCGCTTTCAGTGTGCTCCTGAATGAAACATGATTCCATTCATAAAACTAGTCTGCCTTGTAACACAAGTAATCAAGGTAAAGATGGATGATGAACGATGAATGAAAACTTTTAACATATACTTGAACATCCCAAAGGTGCTTTTTCAAAAGGCAACTGGACTTCCTTTGGTTTTGCTTGAAGACATTTTGCTTCTCATCCAAGAACAAGCAAAAACAAAGGGAGTCCAGTTGCCTTACAAAAAAGCACCTTTGGGACAACCATGATCTGGATGACTCCATAGATGTATATTTGAGCCACTCCCGAAGTACATTTCCTATTTTTTTCTTTTGAGATTGAAATCTCTCTTTTGAAATGTTCCTGTTGCACATGGATATTTAATTTTGTTATTAAAGTAAATATGATTCTTGTCCTGCTATTGCTTCAGCTGCAAGGATGAATACTGATCAGAATGTGATTGCAGTAGAGCTATGTCAGCAGCTAGTTTTTCTAGAAAGAAACTTTGATAAGCACATAGCAGTGATGGCCTAATGTAGGAGTCTTCAAACTTGGCCCTTTTATGACTTGTGGACTTCAACTCCCAGAATTCCTCAGTCAGGCACGCTGGCTGAGGAATTCTGGGAGTTGAAGTCCACAAGTCATAAAAGGGCCAAGTTTGAAGACCCCTGGCCTAATGCCAGATTAAGGCCCTACTAATAGAATACGGCCAGCAAATTTTGTGGCCCTTGAATCCACCTGTTGAACACTTGTTTAATTCTGCATTAGCAGCTTCACATGTACTTTGGCTTCTCTCCTTGCTGCCCTTTTCAACAGAGCCATAAGAATCTTGAGCATCTGACTCTTTTAAGATGGCACACCAGGACAGCTTTAAAAAAAACTAAAGTCTGGTTGGCAAAATATTTGACCAATCATCTAGAAGAGTAGCATAAATCAGCTTTTACCAATCCAGAAAGCTTTGGGTCGACTGCCATATTTTCATTCTATTCATTGCAATTTATAGCTGCAACGTTATAGCGTTACTACAAAAGGAATGGAAATCTTACACATCTGGAATTCTCTGTACATACTTGTGCTTTATCAGAGAGACATGGCTTAATGAAGTCATTCATTATTGTTCAAGACTCTGGGACGCTTCACAATTTTTCCATTAAAAAAAAGATGTGATTGAATTGTGTTGTGACTCAAATATAAATATAGACTACAAGAAGAATCTTTGTGTCCACACTATATACATTAATTCTAAGAATGCAAAGATTAAGGCTCCAGTACTGTAGCGCTCTTATAAAATGTAATGTGAACTGACAGACAGCCCACGGAAATGCGTCGGTGTTCTTCATTTCAGCTGTTCCAAGACTGAGCTATAGATAGCTACTAGCACTTCTGATTACGGTGTGTGTGCAACCCCCCCCCCCCCATGGAATGGTGAAAGAAAAATTTAGGATACTGCCTGTTCATCAGCAGGATAGCTCTTCAGCATAGAAGAGAATGAGACATATTTTGGTATGGAAGGAAAAGCAAAGGAAACATAGATTGTGGTTAAAATGGGCCAAACTAACCTGGGTGCCATGCAGGAAAAAAAAATCCCTTAATTCACTCCTATGGGGATGCAATTGAGAAGTGGTTTGGATGATTTATGAATATTACAATCCAAGCCCACTTCCTTCTGATCACATGGCACAGGACATCCAAATGCAGCCCATCCTGTGTGTCTCAGCTCACATATAACAAACACAGATACAATATGAGGAAATAACAGAAAACACACAGAGAGAGGGGGGGGGAGGGAGGGAGGGAGGGAGCACAAATGTTCCTGATTTGACCTCACAGATACACTTGTACACATACACATCTAACATTCCCTGATTAGCCCCTAGAACAGAAAGTGCACATCACACATACACAAAGAGATGAAAATGTTTCTTTTTACAAAGAACACAGATACCTAATGACTGCAGATAGTCCTGGGTTTACAACCATTCAAAGTTAAAACAGCACTGAAAAAAGTGACTTATGACCATTTTTCACACTTACAACCATTGCAGCATCTCCTCTCCCTTCCCCTCACATATTTTAATTCTCTATTTTGTACTTTTTTCTCTGCTCCTTATTTGTCTGAGTCTTCTGTTCTGGGAAGTATACTTTACTTGCTTGGGGACAATTCTGAATTGTCTATAAAGTTATGTCTTAGACCCTTGTATTATGCATATGACAGTGATAATATAAATTGATTTCAATTTTCTTTAAACAAATTCCTGTAAATGTTCTATCCTTGTTATCTGCATCTCATTCTTTCAAAAATTAAATGGCTCCAGGCATGATGGTGATTTTCTATTATAGCCTCAAATGGGTCTAAATTTAATTTTGTTGTTTTTGAACCCCGAATCTTACGTTTGAATTTAATCTTGTCATCATCAAAGTTAAAATCTGAATTGAAACTTGGCTGCTTTGCAAATCCCTACTGGTTGCTTTTGTCGCTGTAATAATGACATGAGAAAAATAAATGTGATAGGATTTTCTCATTTCTGCAGTTCTTAAACCAAGGAAAATATTGAAAAATATATGTTTTAATGGGGAGCCGGGGGGGGGGGGAGAGAGCCAAACATTCTGACTCAGGTAAAATACCACTTTATATCAGTTAATACTTTTAACTTATAGCACAACTAATTTCTGATAACATTCTGCAATAATTCAAATGTATACAAGTAGTTCTCGACTTACAACATTCATTTAGTGACCGTTCAAAGTTACAGTGCCTTATGACCATTTTTCACACTTATGACACTTATGACCGTTGCACCATCCCCATGGTCATGGGATCAAAATTCATATGCTTGGCAACTGTCCCATATTTATGACGGTTGCAGTGTCCTAGGGTCATGTGATCGCCTTTTGGGACCTTCTGACAAGCTAAGTCAATAGGGAAGCCTGTTTCACTTAACAACCATGCTACTAACTTAACAATAGCAGGGACTCACTTAACAACTGTGGCAAGAAAGGTCTTAAAATGCGGCAAAATTCACTTAACAACCTAAATTTGGGAGTCAGTTGTGGTTGTAAGTCGAGGACCACCGGTACTTTTCGTAAGCTTAATAGAGCACATATACTTTTTGCAGACTTCTGCCTTCATATGTGTGATTTAATTTTTGCCTAGAAATGTACAGAGTACTGGCCAGAAGAGCAAATTACCTATGAAGGAATTGAAATTACAGTTAACAGAGTCATACAAGCAGATGATTATCGGTTAAGGCTTATTACCCTAAAGGTAAGATATAAAGTAATGGGTTACTCATAGACACTTCAGTAAAAAAAAATTAGAAATATTCTTTTCATGACCTTGCTGATGATGTTGTTTCTAAATTCCATTCAGGTAAGCAGCACATTGTGTAGCTTGGGATCCAAAAGTTATAGCCTTTGCAGAGCTTCAGATTGAAGGTGGCTTTAGTAATGTTGATAGGCCTCTTAGAAAGAATACGAGGGGTAGGCAACCTTGTCTCTTTTATGACTTGTGGATTTCAACTCCCAGAATTCCTGAGCCAGCATAAAAGAGCCAAGGTTGCCTACTCCTGGTGTAATACGAAGGCCATCAAGCTCTTTGCAGAGCAGTTAGAATGATGAGTCATTCCACTCAGCCGCCTACTAGCAATTTATTACCAGACGCATTTTCAATAGGCATTACTGATCTGCTTTTGTTACCTATTAAAAAGCCTTCCTAAATGTACTGACTTTACAACAGCCTTAGTATTTGTACCATATCTGTATTTTTAACAGATTTCTATATTTGAGCAGGTTAGATATTAACAATTAGTTCTATAAGATCTTTGGTGTGATTGGTATTAGTATTGTTGAACTTGTGTGGGGACCACAATATGGAAGTACCTGCACTCTGCAGTGATCTCGGCAGTTGCCGGAAAACCCTCCATGGATGACTTTATTTTCTGCAAATAAACTCATAAAATTTTCACTGCTGGTTCTCTTAGACAGCAACATTTCTTTCATCCTCAAAAGATCAATCCTTCCAAAGAGAGAAACAAATATTTATAATTCATGCCTTTCTATAAAACTTTCTGTAAAGTGAGTTGAGCACAGAAACAAACAAACAAAAAAACATGTTACAAAATCATGTACTATTTTAGCAGCTTTTTTGCCTGGAGAAGTGAATATTTCAATATTTATCTATTCTAAAAACTTAATGTGATCTACCAGCTAAATATATATCTTTAATCAAAGCCTTCTCCCCCCCCCCCCACTGCCAAAAAACCTTCCTGGAATATAATGTTTTTAAGATAGAGGCAAAAAATGGAGGTAGTGACAGATTTTATCTTCCTGGGCTCCACGATCTCCACAGATGGGGATTACAGCCAAGAAATTAAAAGACACTTGCTCCTGGGGAGGAAAGCTATGGCAAATCTAGACAGCATACTAAAAAGCAGAGACATCACCCTGCCAACAAAAGTGTGTATAGTCCAGGCCATGATTTTCCCAGTTGCAATGTATGGCTGTGAAAGTTGGACCATAAGAAAGGCTGAGTGCAAAAGAATTGAGGCCTTTGAGCTATGGTGCTAGAGAAGACTCCTGCGAGTCCCCTGGACTGCAAGGTGATCAAACCGGTCAGTCCTAGAGGAGATCATCCCTGACTGCTCTTTAGAAGGCCAGATCCTGAAGTTGAAACTCAAGTACTTTGGCCACCTAATGAGAAGGAAGGACTCACTGGAGAAGAGCCTAATGCTGGGAAGGATTGAGGGCAATAGAAGAAAGGGACGATAGAGAAGGAGGTGGCTGGATGGAGTCACTGAAGCAGTAGGTGTGAGCTTAAATGGACTACAGAAGATGGTAGAGGACAGGAAGACCTGGAGGAACGTTGTCCATGGAGTCGCGATGGGTCGGACACGACTTCGCAACTAACAACAACAAAAGATAGAGGTAAACTCTCTATAATCGGCAATGACTAATGGAGTAAAATGCACAGGGACTCTATTATTTTTTACTTTTTTTAATATAGTAGTGCAATCTGAATTAATGAACAAAGCAACATTGCAATGTAAATTATCCTCACTTGCTAGTTGCATGATGTTATAGGAGCCAGTTTAATTTTTAAAAAAATGGCATCAGTGTTCTATTGCTGCTTTAGCTGCTGTTGCTCTTGATTTATTCTAGTTGTCAGTACGTTAATAAAAAAAGTCAAAGTAGCCGCCATTTAAAGGGACTGCTAACATGCTAAATAATGATAATACATTTGGGGGATGGAGACTATTGAACAAGAGAAATAGAACATAGAGTAAAGGGTTGGAAGGAACCTTGAAGGCCTTTTAGTCCAACCCTGTGCTCAAGAGGAGATTGCCTACCCCTTGGCTGGCTCGGGAATTCTGGGAGTTGAAGTCCACGAGTCATAAAAGAGCCAAGGTTGCCTACCCCTGCACCATTCCAGACAAATGGCTGCCCAATCTCTTCTTTAAAAACCTCCAGTGACAGAGCACCCACAACTTCTGGAGGCGAGCAATTCCACTGATTGATTGTCCTCAGGGTTCAGGAAATTGATTGGATCTTTCTTTAATGACAACCAGTAGGATTTCCTTATGTAGCTAGACATCTCTCCTGATTTCTTTCCTTGCCAGCTTCCTGTGCAGAATTTTCAGTATTCGGAAAATCCTCACCCAAATAATCTTAAGGTACTGAGTCATTCAACAGAAACGTGCAGTTAATTTTTACCTAAAATTTGAAATGCAAATCAAGGAATCATATGCTGCCATATTTTCAGGAGTCTTTGAACAAATGCCAGTTGATTGCATATTTCAAGGAAAGGTGTTAAAAGTCTGAGCCATTAGAAGTTCTCACCTTTGGAAATTCTGGGCTGCTTTTTGAGGTTTCTCTAATGGGAGATGCTTTTCATATCTGAAAACAAATTCATGTGGTTGCCTCTAATTCTCTTGCTCCCGATTTTCTTGCTCACTGTCTTATAGAATGGCGAAGAAACAAGAAAACTGAAGCACTACTGGTATACATCTTGGCCAGACCAGAAGACCCCGGGTCACGCACCACCCCTGCTCCAACTGGTTCAAGAAGTGGAAGAAGCCATGCATTGTGCCGAAGAAAAGAATGCCCCAATCATTGTTCATTGCAGGTAGATTATTAAACATTGTTAGAAAGAAATGAGGGGGGGGGAAGGTACTTAGGTCATTTTCCTATGCCCCTGACATTCATTTGAAATGTCCTTTGCTTTTAATGTTATATACAATGCTGAGCTTTGCTTTCACTTTTTCTTTGACATTTTGGACACACCTTTTCTATGTGTCCACTCTTAATATTATAGCAAGGAAGTATCCCCTGCATCTAAGCTTGTTGAGCCCAGAGGAACCAAAATTTCCACCTTAGGTTTCACTGTAAACTAGGGCGTGGTCTGACTCTCTTGAGTGCCTGTTACGCAGTGCAGATGAAATGTGAACCGTGCAGCCATTTCATTTGTCTGAAATGTTATAGGGCCCCTTCTTGAGTAGGGGGTTGGACTAGAAGACTTCCAAGGTCCCTTCCAGCTCTGCTGTTCGGTTATCTGTCATCGTGTTTTAATAATGGGCTTATTTTGTATTTTTACTGAGTAGTTCCTGGATCTGATTCACAGTGTGTGGTCGTTCCCCATCATTCTTCTCTTTTCCCCTTATTGTCCAATATAAAATGCTAAAGATATTATAGAGATCAGTTTAAAAATATGTCTCAGTCATCAGTTATAAGTGCAAATCAAACATTAAAGTATCCCATATAAAGAGCTCTGTCATATCACAACTGCTTGGGGTGGCTAGCCATCCCCAATTAAAAAGCAAGTCTTTTCTTTGAGACAATGTCACCCAGGAGTAATTAATTTTCAGAACTTCCAGAAAGACATGGAGCACAGCCATCAGTCAGTCTAGCTGTCTCTCTCAAGTGAAGGTCAAGAACAACACACCTAAAGAGGTGTTGCTTTCTGAGAAGACCCTGACTCTTTGGAAGAGCTTCTATGATGTTCCATATAGCCACTACTGAGTATACAAGGGAAGCCCCTGTTTATAGATGCAATAAGCAGATTTCATAGAAATCTTTATAGGACTCGTGACTACTTACTGGTTAACTCCATCCTTAGGAAAGTATTGATCAGAGCTATATAATTTGAGGCATAACCATTGCAGATATGTTTCTGGTTTATTTTTCATATAATTTGACTTTGGTGAACAGAAAGGAGCATTTACATTTTAAAGCTAAATTCATTTTTAGTAAGATTACAAAATGAAATCTTGTATAATGAATATTCATGTTGTTATGCAAGATTGCTGTAAGTACCCCTTGTGCAAGCAGATTATGGATGATGGGAGTAAGGTATAAAGAGTCTCTCTAGCATTTTTCATAAACAAACCATGTGAGAACATAAGGTGCTATCATAAAGTAATAAAGTACCATTTTTCTGAATATTCTAAAAGTATATTTTTTCTGTTATAATGCAGTCAAATAGCTGTAATATTGTGCTCTCTAAATTCAGCATTTCTCTTTCAATAGTTTGCATTGCTTTAAATTTACATTAAAATAATTCTTTCCAATCTATGTGAAGGCATATTATTTGCAACTTGCTTCTAATGCTTATGTATTCCTTTTTATCATTTTTTTTCTTGGAGATTACATTTATAGCATTGATTTCTATTCTTCTATATATTCACATATATTATAGCATTCCCATACAAATCACTAACGTACTGCACCTAGCATTTCCTTGTTTTAATTTCTTCCCAAATTATTTCATCAGGTCTGATTTTAATTCCATTTCCTGCTTGTGTCTCTTTGTTTAGCTTTCTTCACTCACTTCTAAAACAATTTTTAATGTCTTATCAAAATGTTCTGCCTCTTTTAATCTTAATCCTTCCTTGTTCTCTTCATATGCATTCCTCACAATTATCTTTTCTTTCTGTACACATTATGTAGCATATTTCTCTCATGCTCAGTTTTTGCAGCATTTACCTACAGGCTCTTCGTCATTCCACCAACCATCGATTTTCATACTTCCCATTCATGCAATCCTATATATGTCTTGGCACTTTGTAATATAATGCTCACTGTGTTCCAATCAAATTCCACAATCTCTTTCCTTATGCCCGCTTTCCACAGTGAGGGCTCCTTGATGTTCTCTAGCTCGCTTGTTTTCTTGCAGACATCATCAGTACTATTGGACTGATGGACCAACACTGATGATGTTACCTAGTTTGGGTAATGAAATGTTTGCAAAAATACAAATGAGCTCAGAGAGCACCAAGGACCCTTCTTTTCAACCTTGATCTACAAATGTTCTCCTTTGCATAGTGTTGGAACAGTGTTGACTCCTGACGGCTGTCTAGACCCGGACCTGCAATTCTCTTGGCAAGATTTTTCAGAAGTAGATTGCCCTTGTCTTCTTCCTAAGGCTGTGAGAGAGTAACAGGCCCAAGGTCACTCAACTGACTTAATGCCTAAGACGGGACTATGGTAGAACTCTCAGTTGGTGCCTTAACCGTTGCACCAACTGGGCTCTCTGTGAATAGAATTAGGCTCAGACTACATATTTGAGACAAATATACATTGGTTTTCTAAACAGTTACTCATAAAACAGTCACTCATTTATTCTTGAAGTTTTGAAATGTCAGTCACTTTTTCTGCCCTCTCTCTTTCTTTCACTCTTCTTTACACTCACTTGTTCATGCCAACTAAGGGAATATTTATTTCACCTGGTCTGCACTTATTTATAATATTGCACATTTTTTCTCAAATCTCATCTTTAGTTCTTCAGTTAGCAACATTCATTGGAGTGTTAAATGCAACGATCACCAATGGATGAGTTTCTACTTTTATATGCATCCACAATAGCCTAAACAATGTACGAAATCACTTGTTCTTACACATTTTAGCTGTTTCATTCGTATTTAAACCTACACCTTCACTTCCCTGCATGAACTGTACTCCATAAGATCAGATCACCTTAACTCAAATCTATTAATTTCTTCACCTTTCTCTTAGTTTCATGGGCACTAAGTATATCATTTTTTTTCTTTACTCTATTTCATTTGTGCGTTTATGCTTTTATGCTATTTCAGTAATAATTTGTTTTACAATTTACTTTCCTACACCTCTCCCAAAGTTTTCTATAAGTCATGATCATTATCAAATGGGGACGTGGTCAGTCAAGGCTTTCACATAGGAGTTTTTAATAATATTGAAAAACATAGTTTACATTACTTTCATTTCATTGATACCTTGAATTGCTCCACTGGGAGCCAATGTGGCTTGCAAAGCAGTGATGTTATATAGACAAATCATGATTTGCTCCAAATCGCATGTACTTCTATATTCTGGATTAATAGCAGCTTTTGAAAGCTGTTCATGAGCATTCTATGGAGAACAAATTACAATAGTCTAACTGAGAGCTGCATAAGGTATGAATAAAGCAGAGCCTCCTGGTTCAGGAATGGGTGCACAAAATGAATATGGAGGCCCTCTTGGCCATAGCTGTCACCTGTTCTTTGACCATCAGTCCAAAAAGACCTCTACCCCATATTGTGTATCATCTGTGTCTAGGACAGTGATGGCGAACCTATGGCACGGGTGCCAGAGACGGCACTCAAAGCCCCCTCTGTGGGTGTGGGTGCCATTGCCCTAGGCCTTCAGTTGGGTTTTATAAAACCTTTTCGCTTTAGGCCTCTGCCGCCATGTGCAAAAAAAAGAGGTTCAATCAGTCAATTTCAACTTCTCGTGGGGAAAAAAAAAAGATCTTGCAAAGTTGGAATTGATTGAACTTTTTAGTCCCATCCAGTCTGCCGTTACCACCGCAGCCACGCCTACCCAATGGGCCACGCCCACCTGGCACTCGACAATGCATAAGTGGGTTTTGGATTGCAGTTTGGGCACTCAGTCTCTAAAAGGTTCGCCATCACTGGTCTAGGAGAATGCTACCCATCCAAGTCAAAAATAGTAAGCCTAAAACCCACAGCCACGTGATATTTCTAGAATTGCATCAAAGCCTGTTCTTCCTCATCCAGATCGTTAATCGCCTCCAGGCCCTGGGAAAGAATCTGAAGAGCATCATTTGGGTCACTCAGGGCAAAGATGTACAGCTGAATATCATCAATGTACTGATGGTATTTAACTCCATGTTGATGAATGTCCTTACCAGAGGTTAAATAGGAGTGGGGAAAGAGTCATGCTTTCAGAATGTATGAGTTCAGGGCTGGATCTCCCCCCTTCCTAACCCTGACTGAAGCCAGTCCTGAAGATGGAAAAGAACTACTGCAAAAACTTGCTTCCTGCTCTCAACCCCCCTCCCCAATCAGCCCAAAAGAATATTAAAATCTAGGTGGAACCTTAGTTGAAATACAGTAGATGAAATATGAATGAGATTATTAATAGGAGCATTAATGTGAAATTATTAAGTATTAATGCAAAATTAAATACAACACAAAATCTTTTAATGAAGCAATATATATTTCTGAAGTAATTTCCAATAAAGCATAATATGATAGGTATGCATATACATATTACCACAGGGGAAAAAACCAATCAAATCTAACATTTGTAGATCTGGGTGGAATGACTATATAAGTTGCATTTCTTCTTCCTGGGAGTCTAGCTGATGGCCCAAATAATTTAAGTGACAGTGATGGAAAGTCATTTAAGAAGCTTTCAGCAGAGCCAAAGACTTACAAAACCGAGATGCTCTTGGACCATAAAGTAATTGTTACTAGCTGTTTGTCTTATTTAAAATGACATGTTGACATATAAAAGCTGACAGAAACCAGATGCCTCACATAACATCTCTCTGGCTCTCTACCCTGTAACATTTTATCCAATAAAACTGCTAACTGTCTTCTGAAATAATGCAGGGCCCATAGTAAAATATATTCTGCTGGTTTTTTTATTGCATAATTTAGAGCCAGATAAGAAAACAAACTCATTAAAGTATCTTTTCATATGCCTGATCCGTATTCAGTCTATGGGTTGAATAGCACTTCTATCCAGCTTCCCACATATTCTAAAATAACAGCCCCCACCACCACACACCTACCTTACTTAGTAGTTAGAGTCTGAGGATATAATATGTGAGAAGCCAGAAGACCACCACCTGGACAAAAAATCACTTTGGGCAAGCAAAGAGCTTCAGTTTAGTAAAGACTTCTGTTCGTATACTCAACCAACATCGTCTGAAATAAATAATAATAATTTCCTAAAATTTGAGAATGCACGGTAGAGCTAAACAGTTACGTTCAGTACCAATAAAGGAGAACATTTGTAGCTCAGCGTTGAAATGAGGAGTCCCTGGTTTCACACGATGAAAACTCTTTAATTTTACAACATATGGACAGACTTAACTTTCAATTGGGAAAATGCGACCATCCTAGACTAAGACTGAAATGCTAGGGAATTTCTAGAGGCCTGGCACTCTGACAAATTAGCCATCAATAGACACATAGACATCAAGAGTACTATGCAAAGGAAACACTCAAGAAGCCAAAAAGGGAACAAAAAGACCAAAACACCTCCCCACCAGCAATTAGCACTCCAATATTAACATCAGACCAATAATCAAGTAAACAATACCCAATCAAGGAACTGTCAAACAAACCAACAGTGAACAGCTCAACCAAAGAACATCTTAAGATCACACTTACAGGGCAAGCCACTAGATCAGGGGTGTCAAACTCAATTTCATTGAGGACCGCATCAGCATTGCGATTGCCCTCGGGGGACTGGGTGGGTGTGGCCAGGGTGGGTGAGGCCTACTGGGTGGGCGTGGATGGAGTGGGTGTGGCTTACTGGGTGGGCATGGCCAGCTCTACATCGTTCGTGTCAAGGGTGCATGTGGGGGCCTGGGCAGGAGTGGGACAGATCTGAGGGTCTCTGGTAGAAGGGGGTGGGACCGGGGCAAGCACCAAGGCATGGTCCATTTCTTCATTCCTCACAAAGGGTAACATTTCCCCAGCATGCACCCAGGGGCTGGTTCCTTGCCTGTTTCTAGACAGCCTTGTGGAGCTAAGACTGAATGTGTTTCAGCATAGTGGCCACCACAAAATTGTACATTGGCTTCCGGCCGGCCAGGGCCAGGGCCAAGGCAGTGGGGGCTGCTCCCTCACTGTTTCCAGGATGGCTTCCCGTACCACATGAAACCACTTTGCGGGCTGCATCTAGCCCCCGGGCCTTGTGTTTGACATGTCTGCACTAGAATATAAATTGAGAGCAAACCCCACTCCTTACTAGCACTGATGATATTTCCTAGTTTCAGTAGTGAAACATTTGCAAGAAAACAGCCAAGCTCAGAGACCACCAAGGACCTCTCAGTTATGTTCAGTTTTCTGCTCTGACTCTTGAGTTCTGAATGGTGCTATTACATCTCTCTGGCCTTGTTTAAGAAGCTCATGAACTTAGATTTTAGAGTTTTACTATATTAAGTATTAAGGTTGATGATTGGAAATAGTTGTTATGCTATTAACTATGTTAATTATTTAAAGGAATATTAGTCTTTTAGCAAATGTCAGTTGTAACTATATCGATTTATTTTTATAAATGTCTAGTATTATATAAACAATAATGCTTAATATGAAGACCCGGACGACAACTTGTTTGTTGAATTACATATTTACTGTAGTTATCCACACCCTGTCCCTTTTATCCCGATTTTCCTGTACCCACACCGACCCTACCTTTTCCCTACCCATATAAAATCTAATAAAATATATATATATATATTTTAAAAAAAGAAGCTCATGAACTTGGTCCCAGATGTGAAGAAGATTTTCTAAACAATGTTCTATTTTTTGGCAGATCTTTCTCTTCACTTTTTATTTCTTTCTCTGGTCAGTGCAGGGATTGGGAGAACAGGTTGTTTTATTGCTACCAGCATTTGCTGCCAACAGTGGAAAAATGAGGGTGTGGTTGACATACTCAGAACAACATGCCAACTGCGGTTAGACAGGTAAGATAATTTTCCTGCTAAAATCAACTCTAACGTAGCCTCCTCCTAAACGGTGGCTCTCAAATGTCCTGATCACTTGAATTATTCTTTATTTTATTTATTTATTAACTTGATATGCCACCCATTTCATTATCAAGCAACTCTGGGCCATTTCCCATCATGAAAACAAAGGTACAAAACATTAAATATTAATAATTGGTCAGGAATAATGGAAATTATAATCCAACATACTTTGTAGGCATCAGATTGTGGGAGATTGCATTCTAAATCCACCGCTCAATAACATTTACTTCTTTGTAATATGTAAACAAGTATTTGCTTCAGAATAAAATTGTGAATGTACAAATCATTTGCATGGAAAAGTTAGTGATTTTATTTGAAAAAGATTATAGTTTGAAAAAAGTATTAAAATTCTTGAATTTTGATTTTTTTCCCCCCTGTACAGCACTTATTTTATTCCACTTAACTTTATTCACTTTATTTCTGTTTTGATTGTTTAAGAACACAGAGGATTAAAATGTACTTTTAATTAATCTTAGAATGAATTGTTGAATTTTCTTTTTTTTTTCAGTTGTGAGTTCAGTGAAATCAACATTTTCAAAACAATTATTTGCCAAATTAAAGCTTAATCTTCTATGTGAGTTAACTCAGTGGTATTTTCTGCAAACTAAACCTGACTTGTGTTAGATAGTAGAAAATCCTGGATTTAAATACTTGTTCAGAATAGACTTAACAGTAGCTGCACTGTATTTCTCCTTAGTAACTCAATTTAAGCGTGGAATTAAAAACAAAACTCCCACCCTCCCACATCTTTGCAGATTGAAATGATTATTTTATAATGGGCTTCATCGTGGTTATTCAGAATAAAATTCTAAATGATTTTTAAGAATGGTAGTTCAGTCTTACTTGTCTGTTCATTCTTTTTTTGCTGATAACTGTTTTCAAGTGTGGCACTAAACTTGCATTTTCTGAAGAGTTCCATAACCCAACAGCCTATTTCTACTGTTAAAATTTATTAGCCACCTAACTAAGCCAAACAAATGCTCTGACATCAGTTTCCTTTTTGAATACCCTTTTATGTCAAGCCATTCGAACTGGCAATAAGGATGCTTGCTCCCTAAGTCGGTCCCAAATGTGACCTTTTATATTTGGTCTTATTTCTACTAGTTTTGTACAGGTAGTTCTCGACTTAACAACCGTTCTTTTAGTGATTGTTCCAAGTTACCACAGCACTGAAAAAAAGTGACTTGTGATTGTTTTTCTCACTGCAATGTGATTATTGCAGCAGATGGCCACGTGATCAAAATGCAAACTCTTGGCAGCTGACTCGTATTGGTGAACCTTGCAGCATCCTGGGGTCACATTTTGCAACCTTCTGACAAGCAAAGTGAATGGGGTAGCCAGATTCACTTAACAAGTGTGTTACTAACTTAACAACAGCAGTGATTCACTTAACTGTGGCAAGAAAAGTTATAAAATGGGGCAAAAGTCACTTAACAAATGTCTCACTTAGCAACATAAATTTGGGGTTCAGTTGTGGTAAGTCGAGGATCACCTGTACTGTATATCTTTTCTAGAAGTAAAACCATTTTCCACATCTTTTTTAAATTCTTCCTTGCTTCTATTTCCAGGGGAGGAATGATCCAGACTTGTGAACAATATCAGTTTGTCCATCATGTCATGAGCTTGTATGAAAAGCAGTTCAGCAGAGCAGCAGCAGAAGAATGAAGATTCAGAATCATTTATTATGATAAAGATCAAGGGAACTCTGATCAGAACCACATGTAGGACAGAGCTGAGAAGATTTCAGAATTTTCAGAGCAGACGATATTTATTTATACATATAAATATATATAGATATATATAGTTTTTCTTTCATATTGCTTTATTTTGCATTCAAGAATTAAGATACTGCTTTTCTTCAACATGTGACAAGGTGTTATCTTCACTTTAAAAATATAAAAGGCCTGTTTATACTGTAAATAAAATCAATAGCTTCATTTGTTCCAAAAAATTTTAAAACATCTTCATTTTTGGTACTTAAAAAGACAAAAAAGAAAAAAACAACCAAACCACCTTGCTACTAGATCCAAATACAATGTGAATCTCTTTGATAGATGTCTTGCTAAGTCTGTAATGTATGTTTACTAAGCTTGAAAACTAACTTTTCTGCCTTTTTTCTGAATGATTGTTTTTACATTTTAAACTACCGGATACTGTGTATATCATAAAATCTTCTGGCCCTCTGCATTAAAGGATTCAAGTGAATTCATACTGAAAAAAAAAAAAAACATGTTTTGTGCCTTGTGTATTTACTTGTTGAAAACACTCAGTCCTACAAAGCATAGTGACTGTAGTGTCATTGTAAAACAAAAATATAAAATAAGGATAGCCATCTTGGCTATAAACAAAATATCCATAGAAGGTCAATGTTTTTCCTTAGGTTAATGGAAAAGCAGAAAATAAAGTGCAGGTATTTGAAAAGCAAGTTAAAACGCATGTACTTAAACCTTTAAAATGACATATAGCATCAATTAGGTGCTATGATGGTTGCTGTTGGAATAAAGAAATGACCAAACAATTACTCAAAAATATAGAATCTATTTGTAATTTTTCCTTTTGGTATAACTTTCTTTGATTTTTAAAAGGGGAAATTATTTGGGCTTTTCTATTTCAGAAACTTAATGGATAAAATTTACGGTTCCTGGATCAGTTTCAAGAATAAAATAAACAATTATAGTTGTAGTATTGTCAGTCTGGAGGAGTCTGTTATGTAGTGATTGATATATTTATGATAATGCTGCTTCACATTCCTAAATCACAGTTTAAATCATACTTTATCAGTTCATGATTCAATTAGAAGCAAGGATTTAGAGTTCCTCTTTGAGGCAATACAAAAGTAGAATAATTGAAAAAGTGCTAGTCAGTAAGTAAATAAAATTGTAAAAGAGAACAACAAGCTCTCACGTGTAATATTTCCAGCTGAATCCATGCATTAAATATTCCTGAAGTTAGCTGGACCATTTCCTCAACAACAAAATCCTTTCATTAAAGGCTCCTGAGAAAACTTGGAAGTCATCCAAGAAGAGAATGTGTTTGTGCGTGTCTGAATGCAATTCCCATCTATGAGCCTGAAGAAGAAACAATTCCAGTCAGAACATAAGTTTAAAGGTTTCCCCTGTCCAGTTGTGACTGACTCAAGAGGGCGGTGCTCATCTGACCCTCAGCCAAGGGAGCCTGTGTTATCTGAGACGTTTCCGTCATGTGGCCAGCATGAAAGTACAGAATGCAGTAACCTCGCTGAAGTGTTACCTATTTATCTACTCACATTTGCATGCTTTTGAACTGCCAGGTTGGCAGGAGCTGTGACAAGCAAAGAGAGCTCACCTCGGTGCATGAAACCCAGGTCTCGGGCTGCAGATGATAACCACAACATCTTTAACTGCTGAGCCATCGCGCCGCCCAGTCACGACATGTGACTAAATTCTAAAAAAAGATTTATTTGATGAGGGATCATGCTTGTCTGAGTCAAGCTTTTATTCTTATCCCTGACTGAATTCCACTGAATCTCTTATCAGTTAAAAAATAGGGAGCAGGAAGCTGAAGAAATGTCACTTCTTGCAATGGAGGGATGTGATACAAAATACTTGGTGTAAAAATAAAGATTCACGGTAAAAAAAAGTATAAGGATCTCCCTCACTCATAATGGCAAATAAAGAGCTGTATATTGAAGCAAGTAACTGTAATTTCATATATTAATATGTACTCTACAAGTAGTCCTTGACTTACGACCACAGTTGAGCCCAACATTTCTATTGCTAAGTGAAAAGGTTATTGAGTTTTGCCCCATTTTATGATCTATCTTGCCACAATTGTTAAATGAATAACTGCAGTTATTAAGTTAGTAACACGATTACAGTGAATCTGACTTCGGAATTGATTTTGTTTGTCAGAAGATTGTGAAAGGTGATCACATGACACTGCAACCGTCATAAATAGGAGTCAATTGACAAGCGTTTGAATTTTGCTCATGTGACTGAGAATGCTGCAATGGTCATAAGTGTGAAAAACGGTCATAAGTCACTTTTTTCAGTGCCATTGTAACTTCAAATGATCACTAAACTAATGGTTGAGGACTATGTGTATATTAACATAGCATGTGTACCTATTCTATCAGATTCCACTGTAGTCTTAGTGTATATGGAGTTTCAGCTGAAAGAGCCTGGCCAACGAAGAGATCTTTGGATCATCCAACTTCGCCCATCATCCCAATGTGAAATTGGGGAAACTGTGACTAGGGGAAATTATATATTGAAGATCCTCAAGGAAGCAGAATAACAGAATAACAGAATAACAGAAGACATTGGAGATCTAGTCCAACCCCCTACTAAGGCAGGACACCCTACACCAGTGGTGGTGAACCTATGGCACACGTGCCAGAGTCGGCACTCGGAGCCCTCTCTGTGGGCACGTGCGCCATGCCCTGGAGATGGCAACCGTCTTCTTCAACCAGCTGCCCGCTAACTCGCCGAGGTCCCACGTGGCCAGATGCATCCCAGCACCCATGCGCTTGCTGGCCTCTGTGTGTGGGGGCCGATGGTGTCAGGCAGCAGCCACCCTGGCCCCTGCCTTGCCTTGCCCTGTGACATGGCACCCCCGTCCTACCTCACCTCACCCCACAGAACCAGCCTCTTGCCCACTGCCCCACCCGCCAGAGACCCCTGGATCTCCCCCAACCCTGCCCAGCCCCCACAGGCGTCCCTCCCCAAGAGCAACATTGGCTGGCCACGCCCACCCTGTCCACGCCCACCCATCTGCCATGACCACTGTAGCCACACCCACCCAGCGGGCCACGCCCACCCGGCACCCGGCAATACATAAGTGGGTTTTGGGTTGAAGTTTGGGCACTCGGTCTCTAAAAGGTTTGCCATCACTGCCCTACACCATTCTGGACAAATGGCTCTGTCCAGTCACTTCTTTAAAACCTCCAGTGATGGAACACTCACAACTTCTGAAGGAAAGAGTTTCCTCTGAGTAAGTGTTCTCACATGCCGTTTTCCTGTTCTTTGCACAGAATCTTCCTAGACCGTAATTCTAATTTAAGAGCAATGAATATATTTGAGAAAAGAGGAAAAGGAACATTGCTTCTTTTGAGAGTGAATACTGTGGGGGGGGGGCCTTGGTGTTCTCTGAGCTTGCTTGTTTTCTTGTGGACGTTTCATTACTCAAACTAGGTAACATCATCAGGGCTAGTGAGCAAGCAAACAAGCGAGCTCAGACAGCACCAAGGAGCCCTCATTTCAACCCTGAGCTTCAAACATTCTTAGTGCGTGAGGGAAGGAGAATATGGTCTCCTACTGATTCTACCTTTAATAGGAACATGTGGCAGAACTTGAGGGACAAGCAATTCCTGTTACAACATACGCCTTTTATAAAAGATTTCTCCTTTGGGAAGTTGTAATGCTTGTCTGCGTCAATGTTTTATTATTAAGTTTGAATTAAGTTCAAGTCCCAGTGGCAAACCCAAGACTTCTCCATTACTCTTATAAGGTAACGTCTTTGGTGGGGTAAGCCATCCCCAGGGATCTGACAGAGAGCAAAGGCTTGAGGAGTTCTTCCTGCTTTACATAGTGATCCAGGCTTCCTGCTAAAATCGGCACCAGGAAATATGCCGTAGGAGCTGAAAACATTCAGAAGCGTTAATGATATGGAGTAAATACCCACAGAGCAAAGGCAGAAATAATAATTTGATTACTTCTTATTAGAAAAGGTAAAGATCATTTGAGGATCTAACTTTAAATATGAGCTATATTTTTTTTTTAAAAAAAATAACAATACTTATGTTCATCTCTGAAACATAAAAAGTTTGTGTTATTCCCCAAGTCCTTGAGCTGGCAGAAAGTGTTAATGCAATAGGATTAATTTCTCCTACTATTTTTTGTTTTGGCTGGGTTTTTTTCTACTGGTATAGGTATGAGTCACTTAAGTGAGATGGCAGTGTAGAAATTTAATAAATGTAATCAACAAATGAACAAAATGCTGGCAAATTGTGACTTCCTTACCGTTTGCTGCACTTAAAGAAATAAATCGGTGGATTCTCTCAGCTCGGTTTTCTTCCCTCCACACAAAAGCTCAGTTAAAGTGTTAAAAACATGTTACAAATTAGGCCCCCTCCCCACAAAAAGCTTACAGAAGGTGCACTGAAAAACAGTCTCAGTGTGCAACCATCTGCATCACCACAGATCACCTTCCTGTTCAGGCTAAGGAAAACTAAGGAAAAAATGATCCTGGAAGACAGTGCTAAAAGACCAGACGAGAGCGGCTGAGCTAGCTTAAAGTAGTTAGTATGTGCTGGGCTTTTCTCATCTCCTAGCGATCATGTCTATCTGAGGAACCGCCTCATCCCAATGGGCCTGGCCCACTGCATTCATTCTGGCAGAAGAGGCATACTATGGGCTCTGTTGGTCAAGGAATTCTGGATGGTGGGGTCCAGGAAAAAGTCCTTTTCTGCCATGGCTCCTGCCCTCTGGAACATCATGTCCCTCAAGGTGAGATCTGCTCCCCCCCCCCCCCTTGACATTCTGTAAGAGTCTCAAAACCTGGCTCTTCCGATTGACCCAGGGCCCTGATTGGGGTATTCCATGTTGGAGGTTCCATGTTGAAGGTAGTTAATAAACTAAGAAGAAGTATTTTGGGCTTTTTCCACTTATTTAACCTCTGTTCATTTCAATATTTAATGTTTTAATGTTGGGTATCTTTTGTTTTTATGAAGCTTGGAAGCTGCCCAGAATGAGTGAGATGGGTGACCTATAAATTAAATAAATAAACACACACATGTACAAACACACACACACACACACACACACCACAGAGTTAAACATTAAGAATAGCTGTCTGAGAACATGCTGCATTTGAATTTTAATTACTATTGTGTCCTTGAATTGTGCCTCTTTAATACTGACTCTGAAATGGATGAAGCTGCAGAAACACATGTAACCACATAGCCCACAAGGGGCCAGTGTCTATTTAAAGTTTCAGCTACACAAAGCCATATTTGAGATATGCTGAGGGATCCAGTTCAGGCTGTGTAAAGGCACTTTAGCTGGTTCACCTCTACTACAGAGCTCAGAAGAGCTCACAGATGCTTCAGAAGGATCTGTTTCAAAACTGTCCATCGGTGGTCTTTTCAGCCAGAAAAAAGAAAAGGTACTGTATGAACATCATTTTATTTGCCTCTTGTATTTACAATATATTACAAATGTTTCTGTTCTAATTGTTGTCAGATATGTTTTTCTTTCTTTCTTTTGAACATGTCACCTAATCTGATGTATTCTTGGAAATATTGCGTTGTGTTAAGGAAAATGGAATTTCAAACAGGTATTATTGCTATACTGTTGTTATAAAAATGAACTAATTAGTTTGGAGATGTGCAGTTAGGCTAACCCCTCCTGGTTCCTCTGTATTTGGAAAGAAAACACAATAAATAATGAAACTGATGTTGTTCCTCTGTGTTTCGAGTGAAGCAGCCCTGATCATTTGTGGCACCCAAAAATACCACCAAAAAGATTTGCGGCTCAAGGGCTAACAAACCT